AGCGGAGTTCTTGCCGTTTTTCACATTTTGAAAGTAGCGCAGCCTCAAAAATCGCCTTCCGGATCGTCCGACACATTTGAGAGGTCATAGCCTTATTTTATCGCGGAATGTGCCTTTAAGGTGAAAGGTATAAAATGGTGTGTATAAGCGGTTATGCGTGATAAAGATACTCGCGGTGTCCATTGATTGCGGATTATGAGTGAAAGACGCTGTTGAAACACAACGGCGATTCTTCTGTAACGGCACCGCAAACGCGGGGAAGGAACCGGCTCTGGGGACAGTTTTAACACTACGCCCAGACTTCCATGGTTGAGGTCGACCAACAGTCGGTTGACCCTTGCTCTGCTGTTAGTTCTTCACATTTTCCGCTACAGCTTTCTTCTTATAGATCGTTTTATTTATAAACCTCCGATTTCGTCTAGTCGGTCTATACAGCCTTGTTGTTTGTAGATCTTTCTCTGTCTCGGTCTATATGCTGCACCCTCTCCCCTCCCCCTTCCACGGTATAAGGAGACAGCCAGTGCTCTCAAAAATGAGGGCACGTCGTAGGGTCGTTTCGCTTTTGGAAAAAAGGTTTCTCGGTTTTGGCTCCTTTTGATTTTCTCTCACCAGCGCTCTATACTCCCTCCTCCTTGCCCTTCATTCCCCCACCCCTTCGCTAGATGATACTTTCTTGAGAATGGCACAATAAAAAACAGTGTAATTTTTCCAAAAAAAGAAAGTCGGGAACAATCTGTAGTGATGTTAGTAGATATGGAGGGCAAGGTTTTGCTGCAAAGGGAGAAGTTTTTGAGGGGAACGTTCTGCGAAAATTGTAATTGTTCAATGGCAGGACGTGCCCTGGTTATTGGGGGGGACGGGGGGGGTGTGAACGTAGGAGGGAAAGTGTGGGAGAGAGGCGCCGCTGCCGGGGACAAATAATGGTTCTCCTATAATATGAGAGGGCAATAGGTCAGTTATGGATGACTTTAAATAGCACTCTGATTTGGGAGCATCTACAAGAATGCATCATGGATCCAAAAGAGTTCATCGTTCAGCGACCCCTCTCAACAGTAGAATTCACCTGTCTCTATCATCATTTCTTGAAAATCCTCCGATGAAGAAATCAAGGAAGATAGAATAGATACTGCTAATAATTTATGAGTAGCAGGGCGTCGGCAGCATTGAAACTCGATCCAAAAATCTCTGGGGCAGCCATGTTCTCGGTCAGGGCAGAACTGGGCTATATCGCTGTCGCTTAAGACCATTTCGCTTCGCTTTTTAGTCACTTTCCCTCCTATTCAGCATCCTTCATACCATTTTAAACAAAGTATCAAGTAACCGCGCCTTTGAAAGCGTTTCTGGCACTGAGGGCAGGGTATAAGGCATTCTACAGCATTTGCAGCAATTCACGCCGCGTGAATTGCTGCAAATGCTGTAGAATGGACATGGAAGGGGTAGACGTAGGAGGCAAAAGTCTAGAGTGTGCTTTGCTGGGAAGTGCCAAGGGACTGGGCTTGGCGCGGCGCCAGCCTGTTTTCCACCAATGTAGAAGAGGGCAAGCGATCACAACTGGTGTGGAAGACTACCCAGCTCCCTGCCCCCCCCCCCACCTCCACCCTGACGTCCTCCCAGCATCCTCAGCGGATGAGACTTCACCATCATATTCGTACCCTCTTTCGTTATTTGAATAGCTTATTCCGACATTTCAGAGAATTGCGGACCTAAACAGTGACGGAAAGTCGGACGCATGAGGACAGCATCGCCGCTTACAGCGCTGCTAGTCGCCGTAATCGTCGTGCACTGTACAGCTACGGTGAGCTGGGTAATAACTCCCATTACCCCTATATTAAGAACTGAAGTCAACATGGTGCCTCAGTTGACGAGGGGGGGAGGCATTTCTGCACTTTCGCTGCTTCACCAGTTCCGGTTTAATACTTCCATTTTGGTGAACGCCCATTACCCCTATATTGCTCTTGTGAAGCTGGAGCAAGATCATTGTCCACGATGTTACGTAAATACACGAAGGGTAGCCGTGTAATTGCGTACCAATGGTGATTACCGTAATCCTACGCCTGTTTTTATTCGCTACAGGGTGCTTTATATTGGTCATTATTACGTGCCTTAACGAGGAGTTCTTCGTCAATATTGCTGTGGATGTCAAAGAAACCATTTAATGCTTCTTCTGACTTTGTACTATCGGCACGGCACTCCACATCATTTGTCGTAAAAACCGCGAAGGATTTGGGATGGATAAGGAAGAATTTGCTACCCATCAATCAAAAAGCATAGGTGTTTGCAGGTTGCTTGACCAGGTGTTTCACCGGCACCGTGCGGGATCCTAATCGTCGTTATGGGTGTATAAAGTTAAAGCAACGGATGAAATGTATGTGTGCGTCCTCGTGGACCAATTGCTTTTAGATCTTGAGCGTCGGTATCTTTGCGTTGTGCTTGATCTTGAAAAGCTTCACATGAGTTTCGTTCCATTTCGTACATTCAACTGAAGAAGGCATTCAAAATTTTGAGTATTCCTAAATATTGTAGCATCGGCGTTATGGAACAGAATCGCGACGGCTCCCTCATCTTGTGAGCTTCTACAGGTCTTGAATGTCTTCTGTGGTCTTCAGCTTGGATGTCTTGTTCCTAAGCGCAACGAAGCGGGCTGATTAAGTTCGCGCGTCGAAGGCTTCCCTTGCCACACGACCAGCGAATCCTCCTTCGAGATTAGTAAAGAAAAGGGATCACTAACAAAAAAACAGGGAATAAAGCAACCACCAGTAAGGTGCTCCTTTTTCTCGTCGTGTATCCTTACCTGCCCTAGCACACCGTTCGGCACCAAACTCACTGGAGTCGAAAAAAAACATATGGAGCCGTCGCTGGTGGCGCATGCGTTACTCTGCGTTCATACTTTGCGACAGCGTCCACCAGCGTTTCGAGCGAGCGCCACCGGCTAGGACAGTATAGATACCGATCTAGTGAACGCCCGCGTCTACCATCGTCCACCACCGTCCAGGAGTCAAGAGTATGGGGAGGTAGGAAGGTAGTAGACAGCTGGATTAGACGTCGTGAAATTGCGGCGTGTGCAGACGCACCGTACAACTGCATACCGCAGTCTCCCAACGCCTAATCCTAATCCTACCTTCCTACTTCTCCATAGTCTCCACTCCCAGACGCTGGTGAGCGCTGGAGTTTGCTAGGAGCGGTAGATGCTAGTGGTCGCTGGTGGACGCTGTCATATAGTATGAAAGCTTCAGCCTTAGATGGTGCCAGACTTAAAGGATGTAATGTTCATGTTCAGGAAGCCAAACTTTCAGTATTTTCAGACGAATCGAAAACGAATTGTGGCCTCAACTTCGGCAGTAAGGGGTAAATAGTGCCAAGAACTGCAGGGTGACAAACAGGACTAATTACGCATTGATCTATTTCCGCAATTCTGCAAGTCTTCAAACTGATCCGTACTCAATCGTTTCCAACTTTGCAATTCTACATCCCTTTAGTTCGTCAATGGTTCAGTGATAAGTGACGGGGAGCCGTGCCGACAGTAGTACAAAGGTAAAAGAGTATAAAATGATCCCTTCGAAGGGATTATGACAAAGACCCCCGTTAAGACACTTAATGACCAGCATACAGTAGCTTGCGCTGCGCTCCATAGGCGAATAAAACAGTCGTGGGATTACGGTAATCGCCAGTGATGTGCGATTACACGGCTACCCTTCGTGTATTTACGTAACATCATTTTGAACCTCTATGGTAAAATCCGTCAACTCACGAAAACGCTCTCGAGATAGGTCGAAATGTCGATGGGAAGTAGCAAAAGTACAAAATGCCTCCCTCCACGTCAAACTGCTACTTGCTTCTGCCTTCCGAACAAGGTTGGTACTTAATTCGAATGATAGGGTTTGACATTTCTGGCCCACGAACCCCAACTTTCATTTCTAAAGGCTTCTTGGTGGTGCGGTTGTTCCGCGCCTAATTCTCCTTATTTCTAATGCTGAGAATGAGGTGAAAAGAGGAAAAAGCGGACACTTACGACGGAGAACTCGACGCGCCTTTCTTCGCCCTATGCAAGTAGTATCGCAGATCACCAAGGGCTTTATATTCGGCATTTCAAGCGGCTCCTTCTTCACTTTCATGTCTTTCACCACGGTCATTAATATCTGAACCGGCAGCAACTCACACTTTGATCGCGCGGCATGCCCTCTCCTTTCTCACAAGTTCTCCCACTCTCTTCTCATTACCCTTCGAAGTTGCCCAGAGAACCTCTCAACATCTCAATGTCTTTGTTTTCAGTTGGCTCGCCACGTCTGTTACGACCGCGAGAGGCAATGTCAGCTACGCTGGGGATGGGCATCTCGTCCTGCACCGATTTCGCGCTGGCATGGCCTCGAACGGCACGAACTTATGAACCGTTTTTCGAACATCGACGGAACAACATGTGGGCATCGATCACCTCCATAGAACGGCCAATAAAAACAACAAAACTCGATCTCATTGCAGGAATTTTGCTCATATTCGTTTGTGACATGCTATTATTAAGCTTCACGTTTTAGCCAAATTTTTGCCTACCTCACCAATTACTGGGTATCAGAAAAGAGGAGCAGTTCGGCTTGGTGGGGGCAACAGTGATACTCAGCAAAGCTTCCAGGGCCACCTAAGACATGTTATTCTCGTAACCAAAATGGTTTGTACCATTTCACAGCCTTACGGGGCTTCACAGGACTTACCAAAATTAGACCAGTTAGCTTACCTTAACAAAAAGATAGCAAAAGGTGCCCCTCCCAAGCCAGAAAGCGCCAAAAAAAACGCTCATAACACTTATGGGTTCTTGATATTGAGCATTCATCCCGGTGCCTTTCATGTGGATTCTCTTTCAACTTCTACAGGTCTAACTTGTCCTTACCTAATTTTCTGCGGAATGAATGATCTACGAATAAAGAATTTTTGATCGAGATTTCAAGCCCTCTATTCAAAATGTCCAGAAAAAAACCATTAACAATTTATGTGTAACAAAACAAAACCATTTAACGGTAGGATTTCTGGTAACGAGCGCGAGCTCCTGGTCCTCCGAATTTCTTGGCTTCAGTGCGACGAGGATCGGCAACAAGAAGTGACTTATCGTATGCGAAAAATTGATCCTTTAATTCTTTCTTGCTCTGCTCATCGACATACTTGTGATAATATGCTACCTGAAACCATGTGCATCACAGCCATAAACCCAAATTAATATGGTCTATCGCATCAGAAAATTTGCCGAAATAGAACAAAAAAAGTGCTCACCAAAGCTTTAGCCAAGGCTTGTCGTACTGCATAGATCTGTGCAACATGACCTCCACCGCTGACTCGGATTCTGATATCAACATCTTGGAAGCGCTCCTTTCCCACAACAAGAAGAGGCTCCTACAAAAAAATAAGCAAAATTCAAAGAGGACCACAGTGTAATAGAAGTACCAGTTCATTGAAAAGGTGTAAGGCTACGTTCATACTTGGCGACGGAACAGACTTGGCATTTCGAAAGATCGCGCGATAAGGAAAGTACAGATGTCGATCTGGCAAATGGAATCGACGACCCGGCCGAGCGACTCGTCGTAAGGCTAGTGCTACGATAAATCCACAAGGAGTGTAGGATATATAGGCCTGGCAAGACAAGAAATCGGTGCCCCTGAGCAGGCGCTGCAAGGTGCCTTTTTCGGTGGCCGTACCCTTATGTCGCCCTATCAAGCTGCAACACGCCGACCCGAACGCCCAATGCACTCGCCCGCTCACAACTGTCCGTGTAGTCATCGATACTGAAGCTCTTATCGCTTCATTTATGAAGTACAAATGATATGGAGCGTTGCTACATGGATGTTTGAATACATACGTGCAGCTGTGCGTGCAGCCGTACCAACCAAAGCAGTTTTTGGCCAACGGGAAACTCGTCCAAAAATGCTCGTCCAATGCCATGCAAAGCAACGACTTTTTCGCAGGTTTTTGGCCGGTTAACTTTTTTTCCTCATTTTCCACACCATATAGCACCCCTGCTACTGTTTCTGAGCAAGTACCAAATTATCAAGTTTTATGCCTTGAAGGCGACTGCGGCAACGGAGTGAACGGTATCGATCGGAGCTGGTCGGTGGTGATTGCGGAGATTCAGCGATCTCACGTTCTGAGAGAATGCACGATGAGGCCTTTTGAGAGACTCGGCAATCTTAGCGCCTTATCGCCCGAAACGCCGGACCTCCGCAATCGCCAACGATCAACGCCCATCGATACTCATCAATTCCTTTAGCGCGCGATCGCCCTAGATGCCAGACTGCCGATTCTCCCCAATCACCAAGTCTCCTCAGTCGCAAAGTATGAACCCGACCCAAACGAGCTTTGGAACTATTTTTTCTTCGGATTTTTATTGAGATTTGCTCCAAAGGCAGAACCGGCCAAAAAGGTTGAGTTCATCATGGTGAAGTGTGACTTGACTGAACACAAAATAGAGACACCAGAAAAATTACCTGCAGCTTCATGCGGAGGATTTGGGGTTCCAGGTGTTCGAGTGGGCGGCCATTGACCTTGACGAGACCTCGTCCCTTTTTGCAATGAGCAATTGCGGTGGCAGTCTTCTTGCGGCCAAACGTCTGCACAGCTTGGATAGCCTCTTGCCTTGTCATTATACCCTGTTAATTTTACATTAGAAAGCAATTCACACAAAAGGTAAAGGTGACTATAGCAATTAGAGGAAATCAAGAAGTAACAAGGAGCAAACCTTGAAAATCAAGCACAGCCACGTCCAACAACTTTTTATTTACCAGTAAAAATCAACAATCATTTCTCCAAAGCAGAGGAAGTAACAAGTCAGCATCAATAGTCAACGTATGCACAAATCAACAAAATTATGAAGTCAATCATCAAAATGAATCAAAATTCACAAATTCAACAATAATAGACAATTGATGGCAAGTCTACTTAGCCTTTCCTTTCGCTCGGTACTCGGCAACAACAACAGCGTGGTCCCTTTCGTACGGCTCTAGGGTTACCTGCTCTCTCGGTTTAAACTTCTCCTCCTTCAACTTGTTGACTTCACCAGCAAATACTGCTTCCGGTTCTGCGGTACTGTCAATACAGTTGGCTTTAATTGAGATCACTGCATGTCCACCATTCTTCAAAAAGTTATGAGCATTCAAGGCAACAATACGAGCTTGGTCCGGCTGCGCGACGTCCGAAAAGATTGTGTCCACCATGCCTAAATGATTTTGTAGAATAATATGCTATCAGCTTTTATTTCACTTATTATCAGACATCAACAATCCAGTTTATCACCTAAAATCCTAAAGTTAGGGCGCAATAAGCCTCCGACGCAGAGGGGGCAGTCAGCATCGCAGGGTACTCAGCATTGTACCCCATGGAAGAATGCAGATTCCGAGGAATAAGAACAGTGGGCACGGCTCGGATTAAAGGGGGTACCAGATGGTACGTGGCGGAGCTAGTCCAGGCCACATTGTGAAAACCCGTGAGTTCCTGCAACAGGGGGGGTCAATTGTACCATTTTGCAGCTTCACAGGAGTTAACAGGTATCACGAAAGTTTAGCCCTTAGTTCACGTGAACTAGCAAAGAAACAAACTAAAGTGCAAAGTAACTGCCCCCAGGCCGAATAGCGCCATTGCCAAAGATTGTAGATTTCTTGCCAACTTTTGCACAAATACCTATCAACACTTGTAAAGCAAACAAGCACATGTCAATGAGAAGTAGCGAAAATGCAGAAATGCCCTACCTCCCCTCCAAGCCGAAATGAGACGACGAAAATGCTGTGAAAGTGGAACACGTATTATAAACGAATATGGTTAGGATTCCAGTTTGGACGGCATCTCTTCAAGACTGACAATGGCGAGAACATGAGCAAAGCCTTACGAATCACTTACTAAGTAATCATTTGGCAGTTCCCAGGTTTCATGACATCCGCCTCATCCTTACCAAATACGGCTTGTATTAGGTTGGCGGGGAAGTTCTGTCATACTTTTTTGAACCAAGTATTCGCCTATTACCTGAAGAGGGCTAATAATGTGAGCATTTATACATTAAGGATTGATCTTTCTATTAGTGTCACTGGCTCGGCTCCTGCTCATCCTTATTCTGCATTATGGACAAGAATGTTATCCGCTACCTTCAGCACCGACCCCTTCAAGCGCTTCCTTAAACTATTTCTTCTACCACCCTGGCGCCAGCATGGCAGCTGTCGACGCCGAAATAATGGAGCTGCACAAGGACAATGTCTACAGTCATCAGACAATCTTCCACGACGCTAGCTCTTCAGAGCGGGAGCCTACGGTTCGAATGACGAAGTGAGGTTCGGGAGTACCTGTAAACTCAGCTCTAGATAGCGGTGGGTCGGGAAACTACTGGATGAAGAAGCTGCCTCCTCGGTCAATCCGTACGCAAGGCAGCTACGAGATCTGAAGCGAATCGTCAAGCAGAGGGCAAAATCCATCGGCACAGTCCGTCTTCAACGTGCTGGTGCAGCACACCCCGTCAAAAAAAGTTCGAGCCGTACTTCATGCAATAGAGCTGGATGGCTCTCCCCTTGCACCGGTGTAGTCCAGACATTGCTCTTTCTGACTGCTAGTCGCCTCCCGTATTCAACCGTTACAGCCGAGAAAACCTCCACGACTTGAGCCCAAGTCAAAGTTGAGATGATGTCCAACTTTGCGTCGCGCCGGCGTGCATTGTTAAGCGATGGCATCCACGAACTGTCCAAAAACTGGCAAGGATCTCTCAATAACATTGCTGTATAATTTTGATCTTGTACGCCTCTCTGTAAAAAGAAAGTCTAATTTGAAAAAATGTACAGAACTTTCCCGTCAACCTAATAAAAAACCAAACCAACCAAACCAGCCTAATACTCTACCTTCATTCAAGATCGTAGTGGTTTACTGGATGCGATATGAAATATACAAAGGCTTGCGAGGGCCACCCAATGTGCAAGCCAGTGTTCTTATCCCCCTTAAGGAATATGGTATGAATTCACCGTCCCAAGACGGTCGAAGGTCTGGTTGGCCTATGAGGGAGCCGAGGATTTAACCCTTGACTATGAGCGTGGCAAGGTTGCCACTGACCAAAAGGAAATCAAAATTGTCGAATTATGAAGACTTTACGAAAGAATGTGCCTCAAACATAATTTGTATAAAAAAACTCAAAAGAAAGTGCCAGGGGGGAGGGCAGTTCGGCCATGGGCGAATCGTTTTTTTTTTTTCATTCAATCATGGGCGAGCAGTCGTGAGCCCACCACGGAATATGGTACTTGTAAGGTTTTTCATCGCTTTCAAGTGTTGACAGGTGGTCTCTACAACCTTTAACTGATATAGTTTTCGTGGCTTTACAAGTTTTCACACCACAGGTATCCACTCGATTGCTTGACACGGGAAGCCCCCCCCCCCTTCCCCATGCTGAACTGCGCTCAAGGGTTTTCAGCAGCTAGATGAGCTCCTGCACTCAAATGGGATGGTAAGGTTTTTGTTGAACCGAACCACTTCATTCCATTCCTTATAAAAGCAGTAAAAAAAGCGCACTTGCCGAGCAATGAGAACGGTTCCAAATCATAATAAAATGGGCTCAAAAAAATTTCACATCAGAATAAGTTCAGATGTAGAAAGGAATAAGATTAAACTCCAGATATAAGGAAAGAAGGTAATGAATCAGGCAAGCCACCTACCAACAAGCATTCTGTACTTGTGCGGGTGACGAGCGTCTTCAACAATAGGCACAATATTAGGCCTCTTCTTGGCAACGTTGAGTAAGTCACGGCCGGATCGGTGAGAAAATTCAACGGCATAGACAATACCTTCCTGAAAAAACAACTGCATAAGAACAAGAGCCAACTAGCAACAACCGGTGCATGGAAAATAAATGAATGAATAGAAAACCCAACGAAGAACTACAAACTAACCGGGCCAACAATGTCTGAACAATGTGAGACGGTGGTGCCAGAAGCTGCTCCGAGGTACAGCAGCTTGGTGCCTGGTTTCACATGTACATTTTCCAAACCAGCCATCATTGCAGCTGCCAACTTTGATCGGAACGGGTTCCATACTCGGTACTCAATTTTTTCAGTTCCTTCCTCTACAGATACTCTTTTCTCTCCATACACAGACTCTCCAACAACCATGTTTTTCGTGGCAAGAGCATCCTTCTTTGCCTTTGACAATGAACACTCCTAAAAACATCTCGAATTTAGTTCCGTGAAATAGTGCACGAATTCAAAAATTAAACGAGACATCTCCTTGAAGAGAAGTACTGACCTTCGTATCGATGGGGTTCGATAATGACCGTCTTTCCTCCTCGCATTCCACCACCTCGTCCTCCACGTGGAGATCCGCGGCCACGGGGACTGCCGCGTCCACCGCGGGGTGAGCCTCTACAAAAAAAAATTTGAGTTAATTCGTTTATGCCATAAGAATCTTCTACTTACCTTCCGCCACCGAATCCACCGCGATCACCACCTCCGAATCCACCGCGATCACCACCTCTTCCACCGCGAAAACCTCCTCTGTCACCGCCTCGGCCGCCACGGAAACCGCCTCCACCGCGATCTCCACCTCTTCCACGGAAACCGCCACCTCTATCGCCACCTCTGAAGCCACCACCTCCTCCTCCACGGAATCCTAAAACAATGCCGTAAGACGATGCCCATAGATTTACTGTATTACTTCTTTAATACTAATGAGCTAATTAATCCATAACACATCATAGAGGAGTACACGACTGTCCACCATATTTGCAATACAACGAATCCCAGAGAAAATTAACGAAAACACGTTATGAGCGAAGCTTGTGAAGGCCAGCTTATAAATGTGCCCGTAGTGACTTGCAACTTAAGTGGCTCTCTTGCCCCACACCGCAGCTTAACAAGAATTTACACTCACCAAAATGACCCATGTTAGCCAACATGAAGTAGCAAAAGGGACTAGCAGAAGCGCAAAATTCCCTTCCTAAGCCGAACAGTGCCTACGGAACGTATCATGGTAGATCTCGCGCATGACAGGTATGGGATCAGTTTGGCACTCTGCTCTTCAAGGGTCGCCAGTTTTGTCGCGACAGAACGCTGTTGCTCGAAAAGCCTCCTACATAACACCAGCCGCGAACCACTTCAGGTGAGTGTTCTGAAGAAGGGCAATGCCGCCTAATTTAGCCATTTCACCACGGCAAAAGTTGAGTTGGTCAAATAGCTACAGTCAGAGTAAAGTGCGTTCATACTTTTGTTCGTCTGTGGGCGCTTTGAGCGACTACTGAAGTATAGGCATCGATCTTTCTGCGCGTCTCCCAACGTTTTCAGCGACGCGACTATATCTATGCATTCATAGTGGCTCTAAACGTCTCAGCGACATTTACTTTCCTAGTCGCTCAGGACGCTAATGCTGAGTATAAGCACACTCTTACACTGTAAAACCGACCACAAGATTTTCCAACTAATCATTAGCTATAATAGTCGTTTACTAGCCTCGGCGCAGACAAAAGATCCAAGTTCAATTACTCTGCCATTTCGTAAAAACTGAGTTGTTCAAGGACGAATGATCGTATCTCACCCAGTAAGCCTTCCTCAACTACCGGGTCGGAAAAATTCGTACCAAAAGTTTGGGACAGTAAGGCATTGTTCACAGTCTCCAGGCCCTGACGAAACGGCGGTTGGGAGAAAAGCAAAAAATAGTCATCGATCGGAGAATCGCCCAACCGTCCAACCGCCGCGGTTGGCGCGGTTGGGCGAAAAGCAATAGATGTGTATCGATTTCGCTGGCGAAAAACGCCACCGCGATGGAGCTAGCGTTTTGTCGAAGGCGAAAAACGTCGCGGTTTGGCGAAACGCCCGTCGATACGTACCAAAACCCTTTCGCCCAACCGCCAGGCTCTTCGCCCAACCGCCAGGCTCTTCGCCCAACCGCCAGTCGATATGTATCGAAAGCTTTTCGCCGAACCGCCGCGTTTCAGAGAAACGCTGGACCGCAGAGTGTGAACAATGCCTAAACGTTGACTTCTACATCGGATAATCCCCCCCTCCTCCTCCTCCCGAGGCCAAATCGCAGCCAAAAGGCACTAAAAGTTATGAAGTGCTTCACCTTGACCCTTCACGCAAATGCGAGACAATCTCGAGGGAAAAGGGAAGCTTATATGGTAAAGCCAATCGATCATCTTCCCACTAAAGGGAACATCGTCAAAGCATCATATTTAATCCATAAAAATTACACAAACGGTGACTTTTGGGGGTAGTTGTTGAGTATAAACTAAATCCCCAACAAAGTGTGTATAGTAAGAAAAAAAAACAAATGCGAAACGTGCTCACTGGAAAGAAAGAATTAAAACAATAAAAGAAAATGAAGCACAGAAAATCACAATGTTCTTAAATGCTTACCTCCACCGCCGCCTCGTGGACTGAACTCTTTGACCATGTTTGTTACTGAAAACATATTTCAGAAGTAACATGATCAAATAGAAAAAGAAGTTACATGAGCTCAGCAAAGACGTACCTGGTCGCTGAACGACGCAAGTAAATTTGAGAATAAACTACCTTTTGAGTGGTAAGAAAGAAAAGTTCAAATCACGCTCCAAAATACGAAACCACTTGTTCGTTTTTGGAATCATTATTATGTATTCTCAAAATTTACTAATGAAATACGTGTTGAAAACTGCACACAAACGAAGATTTGTAGGAATTGCAAATCAAAGAAATTATGGCAGCTACGTAAATACGGTAGAAATTATCGCGACAGGACTCGCAGCGACTTTCGTGCGATTGGAGCGCGGAATCTCACGGCAGTGACATTGACGAGTTGTGGTTAAAGGAGGGGCGATCGTTTTAGCGCGATTTATAGTGAGCAAGATGGTGAGAAAATAGTGGATATGTCTTCCTACAGCCTTGCTCATAAGCACAAACCAACAGGGGGTGCAGTTTGGCTGCGGGGCATTTTGTGGACTTCTGCGAAGTTATGAATGCTATGAGTGTTACTTTCAAACCACTTTTGTACGGGGCAAAACTTATCGTCCTCATAGTCCAAAATTTTTCTCAGTAGAGTGGTCACTGATGCCGTCCAACATGGCGCTAATATGCAATCATGATCCCTGCAAACCAGGAGGCGTGTGGCGGGGCCTGGATTGGAGCGCTGCCAAGGTAGCCTTCCACCAATTATGCCATCTTGAGTCCGCGACAATGGGCGTGAAAGGCTGTTTTGGATGCGCTTGAATTCACGCCCCTTCGCACGCCCTATGATTTGCAAGTGATCATGACTAGACTTGAGGGAAAGGAGGGAACCAGAGGCAGGTGATGCCTGAAAAGAAAGCAAAGAAATGACAATGAAGATGTATTTCAAACTATTTCCCTTTACATGAGTTTACAGGCCTCTGCAGAGTTCCCTGACACGTTGGCAGGGATGGACAAAATGCCCAAGTGCCCCCTCGATCCCGCTACCACCCTACCCCCCCCCCCTTCTCCCCAAGTGCATAAGGCACAGAGACTTAATCTTAGAAACAGTGAGGTGAACAAAAAAAGCATCTTGCGTACTTCCGTGATGCTCCAAGCGCTGCCTCGGTAGTTCAGGTCAGCGCCGCCTCCGTAATTCAGGTCACGTAACCTAGGCGTTCTCAGCCTCAGGCAGACGAGGGTCAAGCGAAGGAGGCAGAGCGCCACTTCACACCTGTAAGCGCTTTATTAGTAACCTTAGCTTGTAACCTGTAACATTTGTTGTCTCACCCTGAAAACCCTGTGAATTTCTGTAAAACCCCC